TTTCTCTAATTTCTTGACGTGCTTGACTAGGTGTGGATTCCAAACTGGTGCTGCATACTCCAGTATGGGCCTGACGTAAATGGTATACAGAGTCTTGAACGAATCCTTACTGAGGTATTGGAACGCTATCCGTAGGTTTGCCAGGCGCCCGTATGCTGCAGCAGTTATCTGATTGATGTGTGCCTTAGGAGATATGCTCGGTGTTATACTCACCCCCAGATCTTTTTCCTTGAGTGAGGTTTGCAGTCTTTGGCCATCTAAACTATATTGTGTCTGCGGTCTTCTTTGCCTTTCCCCAATCTTCATTACTTTGCATTTGGCAGGGTTAAATTCAAGGAGCCAGTTGCTGGACCAGGCTTGTAGCCTGTCCAGGTCTCTTTGTAGTCCTGCCTGATCCTCATCCGATTTGATTCTTCTCATTAACTTCGCATCATCTGCAAACAAGGACACTTCTGAGTATATCCCTTCCGTTATGTCGTTCACATATACCAAGAACAGCACAGGTCCTAGGACTGACCCCTGTGGAACCCCGCTTGTCACAGGCGCCCACTCTGACACCTCGTCGCGTGTGATGATACATGCGTGGTGATACATGTGTGTGGATGATACATGTGTGATGATACATGTGTGGATGATACGCATGTGATGATACGTGTGTGGGTGATATATGTATGATGGTACATATGTGTGGATGATGCATGTGTGATGATACGTGTGTGGATGATACATGTGTGGATGATACATGTATGATGATACATGTGTGATGATACGTGTGTGAATGATATATGTATGATGATACATGTGTGGGTGATACATGTATGATGATACATGTGTGATGATACATGTGTGGATGATACATGTGTGATATGTGTGTGGATGATACATAAATGATGCATGTGTATATGATACATATAGGTTGGAGAGAATAGACGTGGATGATACATATGCATATAAATTGTAGATATAAGTACAATCTATGTCAGTACTATGCCATTGGTATCTGCAGGCACGGTATATCTGGTAAAACAGGTGGTACATACACCTTTGACCATCCCAAAAGATGCTGCACTCACATGACAACAGGAGAGTGCAACTTCCCCTCCTGTAACTTATTTCACTCAGAAATATGTCACTCATTAATCCATGAAAGAAAATGCTATAACACATACTGCCAGGCACATCATGTAAAGGAGACAAGAAGACACAGACCAGCCAGACTATGGAAAACAAAAGAGAGGACCCACAACCTCTCCAGGGACAGAGGTTTTTTAGGGCCGGGGGGGAAAAAAAAAAACTGGCAAGAAATAACAATAGTCCTACACCACCTGAAAACATTTCTGGAGCAGAGGCACAGACATTGGCCTTTACCCCAGAACAACAGATATTAGAGTCAGCAATAGAACCCCCCTAAATTCCACCAATATGACATTTGTTTTTGCAAACATACAGGGTCTAAAGTCGTCAAAAAACAACAAAATTCCTTACATCAAGGGATGTAAGCCATAGCTCCGTGTCTTCCTTTGTGGATGACACCTGGATCACCATGGCAGTGACCTCCATCGAAAACACTGCAAGACAACCAAATCTTCGAATGGGCCACTCAAAACAACATGAAGCTCAACGAGGAGAAATTTCAACTACTCAGATATGCAAAACCTGAAGAAATTGAAAATGTGTCAGGGTATACCACAAATTCTAACCATACAATAGAGCGGAAAAGTAATGTGAAGGACCTGGGAGTGATAATGTCAGAGGATCTCGCCTTCAAAGACAACAACAATGTATCTACCTCATCTGTTAGGAAAATGATAGGATGGATAATGAGAACCTTCAAAACTAGGGACGCCAAGCCCATGATGATTCTCTTCAAATTGCTTGTGCTCTCTAGGCTGAAATACTGCTGTACACTAACGGCCCCCTTCAAGGCTGGCGACATTGCAGACCTGGAGAGTGTACAAAGAACTTTTATGGCACACATAAGTGCGATAAGGCACCTAAACTACTGGGAACTGTTGAAGGTCCTTGATCTGTATTCCCTCAAACACAGGCAAGAGAGATACATGATAATATACACTTGGAAGGTCTTGGAGGGATTGGTACCAAACCTGCACACGAAAATCACTCCATATGAAAGCAAAAGACTCGGCAGGAGATGCAACATTCCCCCGATGAAAAGCAGGGGTGCCACGAGTTCACTGAGAGAGAACACAATAAGTGTCCGGGGCCCAAGACTGTTCAATTGCCTACCAGCATACATAAGAGGAATTACCAATAGACCCTGGCTGTCTTTAAGAAGGCACTGGACAGGCACCTAAAGTCAGTACCTGACCAACCAGGCTGTGGTTCGTACGTCAGCTTGCGTGCGGCCAGCAGTAACAGCCTGGTTGATCAGACCCTGCTCCACCATAAAACCTAGTCTCAGACTGGGCCAAAGGGGTGTTGACCCCTGAAACTCCCTCCAGGTAAACTCCAGGTGTTTGATACGTGTGAATTATACACATATGTACAGTGGTACCTTGGATGCGAACAGCTCAAAACGCGAAGTCATGTAAGCGTATTTATGTAAGTGCTTTTGTAAGTGTATTTTTGGGGGTCTGAAATGGATTAATCTAATTTACATTATTTCTTACTGGAACAAATTCGTTCGGTATCAGCACTCGAACAGTCTTCTGGGATGAAATAAGTTCGTATCCCGAGGTACCGTTGTTTATTGGTAATACATGTGTGGGTATCATGATACATGTGTGTGTGTGTGTGGATAGTAAATATGGATGATACATATGTATGTAGGTCATACATATGTGGATACATGTGTATGGTCAGAATTTGAGATACATGTATATGCAGATGAGAAATGTAAATGCTACCCAGGATACATCAAAGTTAAGAGATTATGGCACTATTAAACCTGCCAAGTTGCTTATACTTAACACATTAATATGTATCCCTATGTATGAATGCTGTGCATGTATCTCTGTATGTGTATCCCTGTGTATGAATTTGAGCATATATACATGTATTTGTATCCCCATATATGAAGTCTGTGCATGTATCCCTATACATGTATCCCTGTGTATAAATTATGTGCATGCATCTATATACATGTATCCCTGTGTATGAATTCTATGCCTGTATCCCTGTACATGTATCCCCTTGTATGAATTATGTGCATGTATCCAAATACACATCCCATATATAATTATACATGGGGATGCATGTATATGGATACATGTACATAATTCATACATGGGGACACATGCACATAATTATGTGCATGTATCCCTGAATATCTATTTCCATGTTTACATATCCTTGTCTATGAATTCTGTGTATACAGTAGGGCCTCGCTTTATGGCGTTCTGCTAATACCACAATTTAAAATTATGACCAGAACTCTTTATACGGCTCCCCATCTTTCTAATATGGCGAGTGCGCCTCCCGGCTTGTATACTTTCTCCGTGAGCACCGCATCTCTCCATTACGTTTGGAAACTTTCCAAAATTTCAAGTGTTTTAAAGTTATTTCATATTTTATATATACAATGGAACCTTGGTATGCGACCTTAATTCATTTCAGAAGGCTGTTCGAGTGCTGCTTCATTTGAGTATCAAACAAGTTCTTCCCAACAAATTTTCTGTTTGGTTGGCTGTTATCACTAATCGTCGTAGGCCCCATGGTAACTATTTATACAAATAATACAAAAAAACACCAAAAAATATGAAGAAACATGAAACAGTTTACAGCAAAGTTCTGGCAGGTTGCATTTGTTTAGTCAAGTCTTGAGCTTTGTTCGAGTATGGAGCTGGTCTTGTACCAAGGTTCCACTGTACTCTGATAATTATACTTATGTGTAACTGTACCTAAGTAAACTTACACACTGTGCTGGCATGCAGGTACACATTACAATCACTGAGTGTGTCTTATTAGTCTTGAAGATGCCATAATGTTGCAGTTTCATAACTGTAGTGTAAAGCACCCCTCTGGCAAGACAGTGATGGAGTGAATGATGAAAGTTTTTCTTTTTTGGGCCACCCTGCCTTGGTGGGAATCAGCCGATGTGTTAATAAAAATAATAAAAAATAGCATAATAATAATCACTGAGGCACACTAAATATCATATAAAACATTAATATAGACATTTTGCTTAATCCATCTGTGTTATTTTTTTTCAAAATTATATAATAAACATACTATGTAACATATAAACATGATAAATATACCCATGGTAGAATAAATTAACATAAATATGAGATGCTTTTCTAGTCGGCTTGCCGGAGTGAGCTAAAACCATATGTGTTCGGCTGGTTTGTTTACATAACACGTGTCTGTCCCCTCTCGTGTACTCATTCTCTCTCTCTCTCTCTCTCTCTCTCGTTTATTCGTTTAATCTTGTTTACTCACCTCTCACCCTACATTAAGACTACAAATATTTTAAGGTATGTAATGCGTGTACTGTGTATGCATTTTATCACTCTAGGGCGCTTTAAATGTCTAGTATACAACGTGTGGGTGGGGTGGCCAGATGGGGTTACTTACCACACTATTCGATACCTACCTACCCTACTATTCACCTTGCACCCTATATTAAGGCCATTAAGGCTTCAAATATTTTAAGGTAAGTCATGAGTGTACACTGTATGCATTTTATCACTCTAGGGCTCTTTAAATGTCGAAGTATATTATGTGTGGGTAGGGTGGGGTGACCTGGCTGGCTACCATACCTACTTCACTTACAATAAACACTACTCACTTCTCACCCTACATTTAAACTGCAAATATTTTGAGGTAAGTAATGAGTGTACTGTATGTGTATTTTACTGTTTATTGTTTTTTAATGCCTTGTTCTATTGCTAACTAAATATATATTATTGTAAACTTATTTTCTGACATTTATAAGTGGAAGCAAATGGTGTTCTGCTTTCTGGCGATGTCCACTTTCCGGCAGTAGCCTGAAACCTAACCTGCCGTATAAGTGGGGCCCTACTGTATATCCATGTGTATTTATCCTCATGTATGAATAGTGTGTGTGTATATGTATCTGATACAGCATGTTTCTTTCAGGTCCCCAGGACACAGTAACCCATTTTACTCACCCACCTGGGAGGACATCATTGATGGATCAAACAACGCCCGTAGGTGAGACGTTTCTCCCTTTTTTAATTATAATATTTATTGTATTATTATTACAGTAGGGCCCCACTTTACAGTGTTTTGCCTTTTAGCTTTCCGCTATTACGGACATTTCAAATTATGACCAAAACACACTATATGGCTCCCCCCACCTGACTTTCTAATATGATCACCGTGGGGCACCCATTTGTTTACATTCTCTGTGAGCACCGCATCTCTCCATTATGTCTGTAAACTTTCCAAAATTTCAAGTGTATTGAAGTTACTTCATATTTTATATACAGTAAACCGTCATTTAGCACAAGTTTATTTGGCAGGATTTGGGTATAGCATGATTGAAGAATTGCGGCACAACTTTATGTAACACATCGTAAAATTAATTTAACACGGCTCAGTTTGCGGGAAGGAAAAAAAAATCCCTTTTCCTCAAGCGGCCGCCTTGTTGTGGATCAGCGGGGAGACCTCCCACCATCCCCTGCCACCCCCCCGACACCACCCCACCATCCCAGCATTCATAATTCATTTGTGTCCAGTCCAGTCCTTCTCTGCTACACGCTAGCTGTGTTTGTGAATTGTGTTTTGATCTTTTAATTACTATATCTTGTGTCTGCCAAGTAACTTGGCACCCAGTAGGCATACCAGTGTTGCTGAAAGTGGCAAGAAAAGGTATAAGCACTTAAGTCTCAGAATTAACAAAGGAAACAAAGATATTAGACAAGCGATAACCGTAATGAAGCGTTACTTTGTACACATAAGAAGAGGTAAACATGATTTTGTGTGACTGAATGACTGACTTACTGACTTGACTCAATGACTTACTGACTTGACTCAATGACTTAGTAATTTGACTCAATGACTTAGTGACTTGACTCAGTGACTTACTGATTTGACTCAGCGACTTCTTGACTTGACTGAATGACTCGCTGACTTGATTGAATGACTTGACTGAATAACTTACTGACTTGACTGAATGACTTGACTGACTGAATGACTTGACTGACTGACTGAATGACTTGGCTGACTGACTTGACTGACTGAATGACTTGGCTGACTGACTTGACTGACTTGACTGACTGACTGAATGAGTTAATGACTTGACTGAATGATTGACTGAATGAATTACTGACTTGACTGAATGACTGACTGAATGAATTTCTGACTTGACTGAATGACTGACTGAATGAATTACTGACTTGACTGAATAACTTACTGACTTGACTGAATAACTTACTGACTTGACTGAATGACTTGACTGACTGAATGACTTGACTAACTGACTGAATGATTTACTGGCTTGACTGACTGACTGAATGACTTAAAGCCGGACACTCCAGTACAATCATCTACTCAGTACCAGAACCTCTACCATCCACCTCAGCCCAGTAGGACCACAACATAACTCTCCACTCTTTTATTTATTTATTTATTTAATTTATTTATTTATTTATTTAATGTCTTTGCAAACAGTACATTGAGATTGTGTATTTACAATAGTGGGTTGCAATACAAAGAGAGCCTCTATTATGCCTTGGCATTATGGACCAACTTAACATTATTGACTTACATTCTACTTAATACTAAGGAGTAGTATATCATAGTTGTACAGTAGGAAAGTAATTATTTCATAGTTGTACAGTAGAATATTAATTATAAATGAATCAAAATTTGTATAATACAAAGATATACGTATTTATATTCTAAAATGCTTTTGTGAAAAACAATGATTCAATTATATTCCTGTGAACAATGGATAAAAGGTTCGGTGTGATTGTTTCAGTTATGATGTGAGAGTACATAGGTGAGTAAATGTGTACTGAGTATTTAGCATTTAGTCTAGGGTGATTAAGTGGCTTTTGAGAAGAGTCTTAAATTGATTTTCAGACTGGGTCACTTTAATATCTTCTGGTAATGAATTCCATATTTTGGGGCCCTTTATGTGCATAGTTTTTACACAGTGTGATATGGACACGAGGTATATCAAAAAGAGATCTGTGTCTTGTGCTGTGGTCATGTGTCCTGTTTAGGTTGGTGAGGAGAAGTTTGAGTGGGGGGTTTATATTTGCGTATATTGTTCTGTGTATGTAGTAGGCACGTGAATAAGTATGGATGTTCTTAATGGTAAGCAGATTCAGACTTTTGAAAATTGGTGGAGCATGCTGGCGGGAGTGGGAATTTGTTATTATTCTTACTGCTACTTTTTGCTGGGTTATTAGGGGTTTTAGGTGATTTGATGTTATTGATCCCCATGCACAAATTCCATATGTAAGATAAGGGTATATGAGTGAATGGTACAATCATCCACAAACACCAGCACCCACAATTTAAGGTAAGAAATATTATTATTTCTGTTATATTTGTAGTCTTAACCAGTAAAAACAAAATACATCACAACAATGAACTACAATTCCATATTCACTTTTATTTTTGTAAAATGTGGGGCCTAAAAAAAAGTTGTTTGGCTTTTTTGGGGCTCTCAGGAACGTAACTCTATTTTTCCCATAAGTTCTTCAGTTTATCTCACATTTATTTATTTATTTATTTATTTATTTATTTAGAAATTTTAGCATACAAACAGAGGTACAAAAAATACAGGTAAGAGCAGCATGCCAAAGCCACTTATATGCATAGCATTACGGGCTGGCTTAAAATTAACTTAAGATTAACTAAGCAATGATGAAATCAGTGATAAGACATTATTGTAAACAGATAACTATAAAATACAAATGAGTATTACAAAGACAGGTCCTATGGTTGCATGCATTGCTGTTCATTCAGTAGAATGGAGTATTCTGTTAGGTAGTGTATTTAAAAAAAATAACAAAGTTAGGTTTAACATTTGTGTGATATAATTGTGAGTAACATTTAGGATATACAATTTATATGGTTCAGTTATTCAGTATTTATTTGGTTTTGAGTGAGTAAGTGAACTTTGAGAAGAGACTTGAATTTATAAACAGGTAGTGTTTCTTTTATATTTACAGGTAATGAATTCCAGATTTTAGGGCCTTTTATGTGCATTGAGTTTTTGCATAGCGTGAGATGGACACGAGGAACATAAAAGAGTGATCTGTGCCTTGTATTATGGTCATGTGTTCTGTTGAGGTTGGCAAGGAGATGTTTGAGGGGAGGGTTAATATCAGAGTTAAGTGTTCTATGTATGTAATAAGTGCAATAATAAGTATGGATGTTTTGTATGGTGAGTAGGTTGAGTGTTTTGAATATTGGTGGAGTGTGCTGCCTGTAGTGAGAATTTGTTATCATTCTAACTGCAGCCTTTTGTTGGGTAATTAGTGGTCTGAGATGGTTAGTTGTTGTTGAGCCCCATGCACAAATTCCATAGGTGAGATAGGGGTAAATAAGAGAGTGATAAAGGGCCAGGAGGGCTGACTGTGGAACACAGTACCGTATCTTCGATAGTATGCCTACAGTCTTGGAAATTTTCTTAGAAATTTGTTGTATATGTGTGTATGAAATTTGAGTCTATTATCGAGGTGGATTCCTAAGAATTTTCCCTCTATTAGCTTTGTGATAGGTGATCCGTTTATCGTTATGTTAAGAGGTACATCTGTAGCTCTGCTACCAAACTGAATGAAGTAGGTTTTGTCAATGTTTAGTGTAAGTTTGTTAGTCCTCATCCAGGTAGATATTTTCTGTAATTCGGTGTTTACAGTATTGGCTAGCGTGACTGGGCTCGGGTGAGAGAAGACGTATGTGGTGTCATCTGCAAAAAGTGTGGGTTTGAGTAATTGCGAAGCATTTGGTAGGTCATTTATGTATAGGTTTTACCTAACTTCCCATTTTCAGGAACGTAACTACCGTGTTAAATGAAGGTCTTCTGTATACTCTGATAATTATACTTATGTGTGTCTGTACCTAATTAAACTTACACACTGTGCTGGTGTGCAGGTACATGATAAAATCACTAAGAGTGTCTTATTTTTGAAGATGCCATGTTAATAATGATAATTACACACAATAATAATCACTCTGAGGCGCATTAAATGTCGTATATTACATTAACCCTTTCAGGGTCCGTGCCGTAGATCTACAGCTTTACGTTCAGGAGCTCAGCTCACTCTGATAAGCTGTGAGTGGTAAATTTAGGCCTAGATATGAGAGAATATATCTATATGGTATGTGTGCACCACATAAAACAAATCCTGCAACACACAGTGTATAATGGGAGAAAAAACCGAGACCGTGATTTTCAATTAAAACAGCGACTTTGCAGTGTTTTTTCTTATGTTTTTTATAGTTGTATTTGCGATTTCTTGGTCTCATTTGATAGAATGGAAGACATATTACAGAAATAGAGATGATTTTGATTGGTTTTAGCACTGAGCTAAAAGTAGCGGAAATGTTAAATTTTTGCCGATGTTCAAGAGTAAACAAACGACCTCACACGTCTAATACACGCCAGCTGGTGGGTCTAATATACATTCACAAATGTGGTGATGATATTTATACAATTATTACAATATTGCATAACAGTAAATCTTCTATTTTTTGGTTTGAATAAAAATTCATTATGTGAATAAAAAATCAAAATGGAATTCATTTGTAAAGCCTCAAAACGTAACTAATGAACAGAGGAAATGTTAGTTTAGTGCCAGGAATACCTACATTGTTTATTCTGGAACCTATTTTGAAACTGGAATATTTTGAACTTTGTGTTAAATTGGCCAAATTACCAATTTCCGATCACTTTATTTTGTAGTTGAAGCAGTTGACTGGGCGATTTCTTGTGCTCAGTCGATAGAATAGAAGTAATACTAGTGAAATAGCTAAGAATTTGGTCGACTGGAATAATGTAATTGGCCTAAAATGGGAGTCAAAGTCGGCAAAATCGCCGATTCGTAACTATCACTGACACATCAAAATTCGCGAGAGCATAATTTCGCCAATTTTCCATTAAATTTCATACTTTTTGTTTTATTACCTTCAGAAAAAGATTCTCTACTATTTCATAAGAAAAAATAACAAAATTTTTTTTTTAAATTCTTGGA